TATTCCTCATTCCCATATACAAGCTGTTGCTAAAGCCTGTCAATTTCAACTTTGCAAATCTTTCCTACATGCTCCCTTCTTTCCTCTGACATAGGCCCTCATCACCTCATACCAGGACTACTGCAACAGCCTGCTGATGGGTCAAGTGCAGTCTCTCCCCATTCCATTCCATCCTCTATTCAGCCACCAAAGTGATTTTCCTAAAGCTCAGGTCACCACTCCTCTCAGTACTCCAGTGGCTTCCTATTGCCTCTAGGAGCAGATACAAGATAAAATGCCCAGTTTGGCATACAACCTAACACCCTCCCACCTTTCCAGTCTTCTTACACCTTACTTCCTAACATGTACTCTTCAATCCTGGCTGTTCCACCCACAAGACCTCCCATTTCATAGATCTGGCTCTGGGTATTTTCTCTGGCTGCCCCCCATATCTTAAATGCCCTCCCTGCTCTGTTCTTCCTACTGACCTCCTTGACTTCCTCTAAGACACAACTAAAATCCCATCTTCTACAACCCTTCTCAATACTTTTTACTTCTAGTGCCTTTCCTCTGTTAATTATCTTCTATTTATCCTGTACAGAGCTTGTTGATAAATATTTGTTTGCTTGTTGTCTCCCTCATTAGACTGCAAACTCCTTGAAGGCAGGGACTGTCTTTTGCCTCTTCGAATCCTCGGCACTTAACACAGTGCCCAGCACATGGTAGGTGCTTAATAAATATTTATCAACTGACTGACAACCAACATCATAACAGTGAACATAAATTAGATTAAAATCACTCATTTAAAAAAAAGAGAGAAGAGTAGTAGGATGGAATAGAACACAGAATCCAAAAATAAATCCTTCGTAAAAGAAACTCACTTGAAACATGTATTCACATAGAGGAAAAATGAAGGGATGAAACAGAATTTATTATGTCTCAAACAAATGCAAAAAAGCAGGAACAGTCATAATGATTCCAGAGAAAGCGAACAACAACAACAACAAGATGGTAAAGAGAAAAGCAAGGAAAAATGTATTATGATTAATGTATTGATAATGAAATAACTGATAATGATATAACATTAATACTTAACATACATGCAGCATCTAAGTACCTAAAATGAAAGATAATCAAACTGCAAAGAGAAATAAATGGCAAAGTTATAGCAGATGGCAACCCCACAGTAGTGGCCCATTAATGACCTAGAACATTCAAACAGAAAGATAAAGAATAGAAATGAAGGACCTGTAAAACATTTCTGAAAGCTAGTTATGTTAACACTGGCTATTACTAAATGAGAATCAAGGAGTGTACATGTTTCTAAGGTGTGCATAGAAACATTACAAAAACAGCTTACGTGTATTATCATACAAAAACTCAAACAAATGAAGAAACAGGGGAATGTTAAACACATCTCACTGACCACAACAGAATAAAAATTTTAATCAACAAATGGTATGTAAAGAAAGGATTCAAAGTTAAATGAACAAAATATTATCCAAAAGAATATGGAAGTAAAAAAAACACCACACAAAAATAATAGAAAACTTCAAAGAACCTTTCAAAGAAAATATCATCAATGAAACAACATGGCCAAAACTTCTAAGATATAATGACAGCAAATATTTCAGGAAAATTTAGATCTATCTTTGTCAACATAAGAAAGAAAAAAATAAAATGGGCATGCAACTTTAAAAAATAAATCAGAAAAACAAAAATTGAAAAACCCCAACTTATTGCACAAATGGAAATTGTGAAATTAAAGAGATAAAACTGAAAGTAAAAAAAAAAATCAATGAATTGCTGAACAAAATTTAATATGGATAACAGTATCTATCTAAAACAAAGAATATGTAAAATATTCTTTTATTTACCTAAAATAGAACAATCCTTAGGGCCTTTCCAGTAAGATCAGGGGTAAAGCAAGGATGTCCACTGTCATCAGCACTATTTGATAATGTTCTTGGAATGTTAGCTATAGCAATAATGCCAGCAAAGAAATTAAGGAAATAAGCACAGGTTAAAAAAAAGAAACAAAATTAACTAAAAACTCCAGAAAAGCAGCAAGATTTAAAATAACCTCACAAAAGTCATCTTTCTATACATTACAAAACAAACATAACAGGAAGAGAAAGAAAAAGAAATTATATTCAAAATAACTACACTTACAAGACACACAAGGAAATCATGTGAATTCATATACAAAATACTTATTTATAGAAAGAAATGAAGACTTAAATAACTGGAAAGAGGTTAATTGTTCCAAGGTTGGGCTGGATTAACATAATAAAAATGACAACACTTCCTAAATTAATATATAGATTTAATACTATCCCAATCCAATTTCTAAAGTATTACTTTATAAAACCAGGCAAAATAATAACAAAAATTCATCTAGGAGTAAAAGGTCAAAAACATTAAAGGAAATAAAGAAGAAAAAATAGTATCCAATGAGGCCAAGCAGTACCAGATGCCTAATTATACTACAAAGCAGTAATCACCAAAACTCTTTGGTATTGGTTTAAAAAAAAATTGAAAAGTTAATTAGAACATATTAAGCGAATAAGATCCAGAAGCAATCAGTCACAGTAACATAGTGTTCAATAAACACAAGCCTCTCAACTATCAGCATGGGACTTAGTAGTTGATCAAAAACTGCTAGAAAATTTGAAAAATTAGAAAGCAGTCTGGCGGAAATTAGGTTTAGACTAACAGCTCACACTATATACCATATTAAGCATCAGAGGGATACATGATCTAAATAGAAAAGGTACTCTCTTCTCATACCCAAATAAGAAGACAAAGCAAGGAGATATCTTTTAACAACTATTTTATTCAGCTCCTTTTCAGTCGTATCTGATTCTCTGTGACCCCATTTGGGGTTTTCTTGGCAAAGATGCTGGAGTAGTTTGCCATTTCCTTCTCCAGCTCATTTTCCAACTGAAAAAACTAGGGCAAACAGGGTTAAGTGACTTGCCCAGGGTCACATAGCTAGTAAGTGTCTGAGGCCAGATTTGAGCTCAAGATGAGTCTTTCTGCCTCCAGGCCTGGAACTCTATCCACTGTGCCACTCAGCTGCTCTTTAACATCTACAGATGAAGTACAAATTCTTCACTAAACAAGGGATTTAGATCACAAGAGATAAAATAGACAATTTTGATTACATAAAGCCTTTCACATAAACAAAATTAACAGCCACAGGTATCAGATAAAATAAAATAATATACACATGCAAAGCACTTTACAAATTTTAGTGCACTGTATAAATGGTGATTTTTATTATTTTTATTTTAACATATAGAATATATATTATGTAGAATGTATATTATACAAATTATATTTTGATAATTATATTATAAATTATAGAAATATAAATTATACCTAATTTTATTGTTGTTATTATTATTATTAAAATGTGCTCCAAATCACTAGTTGTAAGAAAATATACATTAAAACAACTCTGAGGTTCTATATCACACCCGTCGGATTGAAAAGAGAACAAAGAAAAAAAAAGAAAATGGCAATTGCTCCAGGAGGTGTGGGAGCACAAGTGTACTAATCCACTATGGTGGGACTATGAATCAGTCCAGCTATTCAGGAAAATAATCTTTAACTATTCCCACTAAAATCTGTCTACTTTTTGACTCAGTGAGAATACTACTAGGCATATCTACCTAAAAATCAAAGACAGAGACAGTTATGCGGTACAGGAGATACAGAACTGTGTCTGGACTCAAAAAGTCCTGAGTTCAAATCCTGCTTCAGACACATATTATCTGTGTCACCTTGGGGAAGTCACTTAATTTCTGCCTCAGTTTCCTCAACTATAAAATGAGATAATTAATAGTACCTACCTCCCAGGATTGTTGTAAGGAACAAATGAAATAATAATTATAAAAGGCTTAACACAGTGTGTTGCACACAGGATAGATACTTAATAAATATGTGTTTATTTCTTTCCTTTTTTCTTCCTTCTTTTCATATGTGCCAAAACATTTGTAGCAGTTCTTTTTGTAGTGGCAAAGAACTGGAAACAAAGTTTCTATTAATTGGAAAGTAGCTTAACAAATTATGGGAGAAAGGACAAAAAGGGTAGATTTGGAGAAAGCTAAGGAAGACTTACATGAACTGATTCACAGTGACTACAGCATTGTAAAAGGAAAAGAACTCAGAAAGAATTAAGAAATCTAAGCAATCACGACTCCAGAATACTGATGCCTCTTGGACGGGAGGCAATGGACTAGAGGTACATTTTTAGACGTGGCCCATATGTGAATTGTTTTGCATGACTATACATATTTATTACATGTAAGGGTTTTTATGCAGTAGAAGAGCTTTGGAATGAGTGGATGGATAGTAATAATGATATGAAAAAAAATTTTTTTAAATAATGTTAACAAAATATTTTAAAATACTCTGAAGAGAAGGAAGTTCCGAAGAAGGCACAGAGAAGCAGGGAACTTTTGTATACAATAATATAATTTTAATGTTTGATAAAAACACACACAAACCCTTTTTCGAATAGAAAGTCATAGTATATAAACCTTTTTTTCTGTTTTCCTTTGTACATAGAAGTGTTCCTACTTGTTGATGTATGACTTCATAATAAAAAATAAATCATTTTAAATTAAAAAAAGAAAACCCTGAAGGGTATCTCCAATTATGTAATAACAGATTTCAGAAACCGTTTTCAATACTAGGAGGGCAAATATTGTTAGCATGAAAAATAGCCCTACATCAAATTAATTCTAAGGCATTATTCTTAGGACATTACATAACAGGACACAGTGATGAAGGCAACATGTATGAGGACACAGAAGGAACTCTATTCATCCCTTAGGAATTAAAATTAGATTTTCTGGAGTAGCTGACATATAGGAAATAGGCTAAATAAGCATGCCACATCCCTTCATTTTCATCCCTTAGGCAGGTGCTCACCACTAAGTCATATATACGAGTAAAAACAGAAACAAGGGCATCATGCATTTCATCCAAGCAGACATCAACAGAGACCTCACCTTATCACTGTCCTCATTACAGATGTGGTCATGATGTATTGACTGGCACTGGAAAGAGGCACCAAAATTACCTATAAGAAAGGGAAGGAAGGAAAAAGAAGTCAACAAGATTGCAAAACCCTATCTCTAAGACATCAAAATATGGATAGTCAAAAAACTTCAAGAGTCCGAATATTTTTTTCCCAACAAAAAGAAAAGGCCACATACACAGATCTCAAACTTCTTGATTAATGAGCTAACCTGCAAAGACTTATTATTGCATTCTACACATCTTTTCTTGTCTTAAGAAATTTGCACGTAAAAAGGCACTTATGGACTTCAGATTGGCAAGAATGCCAAAAAAAAAAAAAAAAGGAAAATGAGGAATGTTGGAAGGGTAGTGGAAAAATAGACACATTAATGCATTTCTGTGGAGGCTATGGATTGGTCCAGCGATTCTGGAAAACAATTTGGAACTAAACCCTTAAAATCATTAAGTTGTACATCCCCTTTAATCTAAGAATACAACTTACTAGCTGTATACCTTAAACACAAAGAAAGAGCAAAAGGGCCTTTATATGCAGAAATATTTATAGCAGCTCTTTTTGTAGTAGCAAAAAAATGGATAACTAAGAGGATGCCCACCTAGTATGGAACAGCGAAACAGCATTTGAAATGTAAATGTAAACGTAATACAGTATTATTGCACCATAAGAAATGAGGAAAGGAAAAGTTTCAGACAAACCTAGGAGAATTTGCATGAACTGATGCTGAGTGAATTAAGAGAGCAATTTAATACAATAACAACAAAACTGCCAAGAAAAACAAATTTTCCCCTCTTTTGTCATCCTTGTCAACCTGGTGGGTGAAATGAAACCTGAAGATTGTGGGATGCGCATTTTTCATATCACTAGTGATTTGGAGCATTCTCTATTTTAAAAATGTATATAAAACTTTAAGGTTCACAAACAGCTTCAGGCATACTGCTTCATTTGATGCTCAGAATGACTCTGTGAGCACAGTAGGTGCTTTTATTATATCCGCATTTTACAGAAAAAAGCAGTCTGAGAGAGGTGACTTGCCCAGGATCACACAGCTGTCTGAAGTAGGATGTGAACTCAGGTTTTCCTGGCTCCAGGCCCAGGACACTATGCCACCTCACGATTTGGTATAATCTTTCAGGTGGTAGTTAGCAGTTTGAAATTATTCTTTTGGTAACAGTTTGTTCACATCCTGTAACTGCTCATCTACTCAGGAATAGTCTTGGGACTCATATACTTAATAACAGTAATAATTATAGCTAACATTTATGTAGAGAGCATTGTGTTAAGTACTTCACAAATATTCTATTGATTGATCTTCACTACAAGCCTGGGAGGTAAGTGCTGCTATATTATTCCTATTTTAGAGAAGTTTTGGAAACTAAGGCAAACAGAGGTTAAGTGACTAACCCAAAGTCACACTGGCCATTAAGTGTCTGGGGCTAGATTGGCGCTCAGAAAGATGAATCTTCCTGACTCCAGGCCCAATACTCTATCCATTGCACCACTTATATTTCTTCTGTAAGTTATCTATATATCTTAGATATCAAACTCACATCCTAGATATTTGACACAAATATTTTTCCCAGTTGATCTCTCCTTGCCCCACATATATTAATTTTGTTGTGCAAAAGCCTCTCAGTTTCACATAATTAAATGTTGCTAATTGCTTCTCTCTCTTGTTTGGTTAAGAATTCATCTCCTACTCCTAGCTACAAATAGTAGCTTCCCTTCTAAGTATTTCATGGTATGATTTTTAATGTTCAAATCACCATTCAGTCAGCCAACTAATATTTACTGAGTGCTTACCATGTGTAAGACAAGATTTTTTAAAAGATGGACAGGAGAGGAAAGCAAGGTAGCATGATGGAGGATAAATGCCAAAGCGCACCATGGTCCTATAAGAATAGTGTTGAAAAGCTGAGAATGAACTGACACCACAAAGGAAAACTAAAAATAACAAAAATGTTATTGAGTTTAAAAAATATGTATAACTGGAGTGGGAGGTGGAGGGAGGGAGAGAAATTAGAACTGATATTTAAATTTCAAAGATTTTAAAAATAAAAAAAATAAAGTTAAAAAACTGTATTGGGGGGAAAAGTAAAATAAAAGATGAGATAGGACTGCTGCTTGGGGAAAGGGGATTGGAAAATAAAAGAGAAAAGCAGAGTTGCTGACTTTAAATTTGCTTCCCATCCCTTTGACCAAGAAGAAACCTCTCTGCATTAGAAACGATAAAACAAAAATGGCTAATGGAGAGTTGAAACCTCAGTTGAGCAGGCAAGTAAGTAAGATAGGAACTAGCTGCCCTGGCTTCATTTTTCTTACTTCCTAATTTTGACTCTGCAGTTAACCGATTCAATACCACACTGTCCTCTATCTCAAATTCCTTCCCCCCTTGTCCTATTCAGCCTTTGCCTTATCAAACGCTCAACCCTAAATTACTTCCATCACCTGCCTCATCTGCTCCTACTCATTTATTTACTGGTAAACGCCACTGAACAAAGTCATTACCAATTTACGTTATCTCAACTGGGTCCTCACTGCAGCAAGGCTATCCTTTTGCTCCCCCAGTTAGTTCTCTATCTCACCACAGTAACTGTTTTAAGCCTTCCCTTCCCACCTCTGTACAACCCCTTGCCTTACTCTTCACTGAGAAAACTGAAGCTGTTTACCCCAAGCTCCTTCTTTTCCCCTCTTTCCCTAACTTGAAATAACTATTTTCAACAGCGTATTGCACATATGTGCAAATGGGCGTCTTTAAGTCCACCTCTACTGCTTTATCTATTTATAACGCAAAATTAAATTTAGTGTCTCAACTGATCTCAAAGATCTTCAACCAAACGGACAATTCTCCTGCTCAATATATTATCGGCAAACAGAACCATTCACAGCAATTGCTGTAGGTGGCACTAACATTTTTTAAAAATAAAAAAATATGGGGGCAGCTAGGTGATGCAGTGGATAGAGCTCTGGCCTTGGAGTCAGGAGGACCTAAGTTCAAATCCGACCTCAGACACATAACACTTACTAGCTGTGTGACTCTGGGCAAGTCACTTAACCCCAAATGCCTCACCTAAAAACAAAAAAATTAAATAAAAAAATATGCCCAGTCCATTCTCTAGAGTGATCTAAGAAAGGATAGCATCAGTCCTATTTAGTTTAAAGGAACTGATTTTAAAAACAAAGAACTTAATACCTTCAGACAATAGTAGCTTCATGAAGGTCTCCACATAAGTTCTAAGGCCATTAGTTGAGAGATATGGGCAACTCTGAGAATACTTCCACCTTAATGAGAAGCCACAGTATACAGGCCAACATTTCCACAGGAGATTTGATATCACAGTATGGATGGAGCTCAAGCAGGAGATGAGGTAAGTGAGATCAGCTCCACAATTTTATACTCATTTTCTTTCTCTGGGTTGCTAAAAAGTTCCTAAGTCTAACTGGTCTCCATTGTTTAATTTGGGGTAAGTGGTTCCACGACATTTTTCCCCCCTACCCCAGAAGAGTCAAAGTCAGATACAGCAGGAATTTAAATATATGGAGGAATTTTCCAGACGGACGAACACTGCAGATGGAAGGCTTTTTACAATTAGTAATTCTATAAGCAACTTTACACAACTGCTAGCCACCCTTGTGACATCCCAGACATGGTTTTTTTTAAAAGTCTGCTTTCGCTTACTAAGTTCATCTTCATTTTCTCTGGAAAAATTCTCTTGTCTTGCCAATATATTCTGCAAGTACACTTTCATGATGTCTTAGTTTGCTGGGTTTCATGCTATGTGCAGCTGCTAAACCATTCACAGAAAGCAAACACAGTAAGTAGTCTTTCCCCTGCATCAATAACAATATTCATGAATCCCACTGATAAATAAAGCAGATCATATTTTCTGGATTTAGAAGGTGGTGGTATTTTTTTTGGTTTTTCTATATTTCTGCTACTTAAAATGTCTCTATATCTTGCTTATATTAGTTTTACCTGTTCCTCTGAGTTCTCTCTTTGAAATAATTATTTACTCATCACAAAAGTATATTATTTCACATAGACTAAAGACTATGGTAAACATTGGGAAATAACATGTAAAACATACATCTATTTTTTTTAATGGAAAAATCCAAAAACACACCAAAAAGAAAGCGGTGTGTGTGTGTGTGTGTGTGTGTGTGTGTGTGCGCAGAGGCCGGATGGTGATGGAACATTATGTTTAAGGCTATGAATGTGATATTGTCAACTACATCTCTTCTTTAATCAAACCACAGTGGAATATTACATTTAGTTCTGAGCACCATACTTTAGGAAGGTCATTGATAAGATAAATGGCCTGGAAATGGGAAGGAATATCCACTGAAGAAATCTGGTCGTTAAACCTGGAGATGGAGGGTAGGGGATGTTATAACTATTGTGGAACATTTGAAGGGCTGTCAGGTGTTGAAGGATTAATTACACTTGTTCTTCTGGGCCTCAGAATACAAAGCTAGGAGCAATGGGAACAGGCTGACTTATAATTAGAGCTTTGCAAAAAAGGAATGGTCTGTCTTAGGACAGATGGGGGAGGTTTCTCATCACCGGAGGTCTTCAAGCAAAAGCTAAAATACCACTATGCTGGATAGAGCGTAGAAGAAATTTTTGTTTAGTTACAGGTTCTGATGTTCCTTCCAAATCTGAAATTGAGTGGTTTTTAGTGCTTCCATTCAAAATAATTCAATTAATTTGATTTCATCAAATCACAGGATCTCAGAGAGTTGGACTTGTACTACAAACCTCTATCTAATGCATGAATACCCTCTGGGACTATTTTAAATACTACACTCTTTTAGAAATTAATTTTTTGCACGTCTTCTGTTAGGGGACTAAAATTACTCCATGCTAGAAATTCTGGTTCTTGCAGGACATGGCATAATTTTAAAATTCAATTTGTTAGTTCTATGAGAAAGACAAAGATATACTCATACTGCATAAAACTTAAATTCAAATTTAAATGTAGAGCTTTTCTATAACACAAGCTGCTCAAGCACAAAAATTAGAAGAAAAGAGGTCTGTCTGGAAC